TGGCCATCCAGCTAAATCCTAAGTCCCGCATGTGAATCAACAGAGCAGCTGGTATGTTGTACCTCAAATGAGAAAAAACAAAGTAACAAAAATGTGCTAATTCACAAAGTGTTAATGCATAACTTGTATTATTTTGTTTGCAACTTGCAAAGAGGTGACAGTATAATTCATTATCATCACTTACCTCAGCCTTCCTCTCTGTGATGCAGAATGTGTACCTATACCAAATCACAATTCAAAAGGCTATTGCTCTGATAACGAGCATAAAACAAGCTGCACATTATTCAGTGATAATTGTCAAATTTGCAATTCTATAAAATTTGCTTTTTTCCCCCCATATATTCACACTTTCACATACATTCAGACATTAATTTTATATATTCAGACATTCATTCCATATATTGACTTTCATTTTATATATTCAGACATTAATTTTATATATTCAGACTTTCATTCCATATATTGACTTTCATTTGATATATTCAGACATTCATTTTATATATTCAGACTTTCGTTCCATATATTCAGACTTTCGTTCCATATATTCAGACTCTCCTTTCGTTCCATATATTCAGACTTTCGTTCCATATATTCAGACTTTCGTTCCATATATTCAGACTTTCATTTGATATATTCAGACTTTCATTTGATATATTCAGAGTTTCGTTCCATACACTCAAACTTCATATTATAAATATAATTATTTTCTGAACGGCATGCCATATATATATATATATATATATATATATATTCATTGAATTGAACTGAATTGATTATAGCCTGCCTAGAAAGCGAGCAAATAGAGCTTCCATATAATCACTAAAAAGCTGTCACTCACTTCAATTTATCGCAACCTCACGATGTTCCTTTATAATCAGTGAAGCTCTCTGAACTGCAAATAATATCTTATTTACATCGTGTCTACGTGTGGCATTTAGCACTGATTGAATTCGGACTGTCTCAATGCGTGAGAGGTGGCAGCCCAATCTATTTATATCTTTATTAATATCTTAATATATTATTATATCCCATAATAACCATTAGCACGCACGAGCATTATCACACGCTTCGCTCCTCCCAACTGCAGACGCAGGTTTACAAGCCACTTTTTCCTGCGTTTTTCAATCGATTTCTCGACTTTCCCCCACTTATGAACAACACATTTTCGAACACGATAAAAGCTCCTTGTGGTTTCTCGGTTTGGCCAATTTGAGCATCCATAAACAACGCAAAACACAGGCATTTTGAGTTTCTGCTAGTGATTCCTACGGAGAAAAATCACTTCCTGCCCTCCAGCTGCATTTCGTGCATCATCAGTGACGTCATGTGCAAACAACCTATTAACAAAGAGGGACTCTCAAACTGGGAGGAAAAGAAAGTAGTAAAAACAATATGACTTATATTTTTGGTAACACCACTGCTTTGAATTTAGTAGGAAAACACAAACACCACACTATTTGAAAACCCTATGTTTTTTTGACATTTAATGCCAAGTTAACGCAGTGTGTCATTATATAGGCCTAATTGTACATACATTAAAAAAAATAAATATAAAAATAAAAAAAATTAAATAAACTTTTCTCTCAATGCTTAAATTCTTACTCGCGTGCCAAGGACGCAAAACCGGGCAGCGGGCATATATAAGCAGAAAGGGTCTGGCTGCAGACTTGCACTTGCACTCTCAGACTTGCATTCTCAGACTTGCCCTCTCAGACACTTGCACTTCCGCTAGCGACGTCACTTGCAGTCTTTATTTTTTTATTTTGTTCTATTTATTTATTCTTTTTGTTTGAATCTCTCAACATTTTACAACTGTAGCCAGGTGGTGAAGACAAGACAAAAGAAACTAAATTACGTAGTCACTTGCAATCGCCACTTGCACTTTCCGCTACCTGCGATGTCACTTGCAATCGACACAAATCGTGCGTGTTGCCAATGGAGACTAGACGCTGTGGTGGTGATTAAACGATTAAAACTAATTTTGTACCGTAACGTACAGGGTCCTGCAAGCCATCTGTAGGAGAAAAAGACAAGACCCGCAAATCCGTGGCCACAGAACAGCAGAATATGAACGCAATGCACAAAGTCTCTCGTTAAGCGTTTTCCTCCTGTAGAAAAACATAAACACTTAATATGGACTTGCAATCGACACGAATCGTGCGTGTTGCCAATGGAGACAAGATGCTGTGGTGGTGATTTAATGATTAAAACTAATTTAGTACCGTAACCTACAGGGTCCTGCAAGAAAAAGACCCGCAAATCCGTGGCCACAGAACAGCAGAATATTAACGCAATGCGCAAAGTCTCTCGTTAAGTGTTTTCCTCCTGTAGAAAAACATAAACACTTAACATGGCTTAATGCATAAATTTATGTATTAAGATGCTATTAAAACATCAAATTCAATATACAGTTTATTAATATGATGAATGTATATAGTATTTTCCTCCCACACCGCAAAACGTGGCATAATGGACTAAGATGATAAAGACCAAACTCAATGCTCT